GACTAAATTGCCTTGGCGACAGCAGAGGCCAAAAGCTGAAGAAATATATGAGTGCTGGAAAAGAAAAAACCGAGTGGGTGCAGCTGAGCATGATCTGGAATATCGCTTTGCCTGGCAGGTACATAAAACAAGCATCTGTCCCGACGATGTGTGCCGAGAGACACTCGCACGTGATGCTGTGTATTACAGCCTCGGTGCGTTTGATTAGGGCAGGAAGAGAAAAACAATGAGTATTTACAATGCTCAAATATTACATGTGTCAAACTTCTAACAAACTCTCAGGAGAAAACAGTGCTCGGTTTTCAAATGTGAGAGTTGTCCAATTGAGGGGAAAAAGGAAACACAAACTTTTGCTCATGATGTAAAGCATTTTTTTACTTACAGAATGTCTGGAGGAAAAAAAAAGAGAAATAAGTACAGGGGAGGAAAATTCTAATTTTCTGTCATGCCTTGAAACTTTGTCCCAGTCCAATATTATGTCATTATGACTGTACTTACCGTCTCTGTGGAATTGCTGTGGTTTTGTGGATAAATTACATGTGACACTCCCAGCTGACATCCTGATTAACACAGGAAGGAACAAAAAAAAAAAGTCCAGTCCTCAGTAGTCAGCAGGGTAATGGACTAATGGCTTCCATGTATGATGAGATGGGTGAGAAAAAGCAGGATTTTTTTTTGTTGGTGCAGGAATATGAATGTAAGAGCATCAGCATATGTGCCTGTTTGTAAATGAACAGAGAGAGAGAGACAAAGAGCAGCAGTGATCGAGCAAACTAAAAAGTGAAGAAAGTGGCGAATTAGAGAAATGAAACAGTATTTTTGGATAGCTTCACGTTGTTAAAGTAGAAGCGAACGAGCAAAATAACTTGCGCAACCCTTCGAAAAGATGCCGCGCTGCCAGATTTTGCGTGAACGCAGCGCATGCTTCACAAACAGGAAAGGACACACGAGCAGAAACACAGACTTGGAGATACATTCAACCCCGCAAAAATGTAGCAAACTGAAGCAAACACGAGCATCAAAACCGTGGAGGTTGCGCATGGTCTCTGTAACACGAATGTACCAAATGTTCTCGTGGTCGCTGTGTTATCACAGAGACCCGCCCTCACACCCTGCCTGCAATCACTGCCCGAGGACTACACACCGACACAGACTGCACAATGGTTCCGGTGCAGAAACATCCAAACATAACCACATAAAAATAAAATACGGACAAAGTAGGAGTGGTGCTGCAGATAAACACACCTCAATACACAGCTTAGGTGTTAATCTATACATAGTTTGGATTTTTCCCCAGCATTTTATAATTTTTTTTTAGTTTTTATGACATAATTTCAGCACTTATATAGTTGACCACAACACTGAAAATTCTTGTATATGTTTTTTTTTTTGTGTGTGCGTGCATTGAGGACTTTTTCTCTAGATTCTCTCCTCTCTGTTTAGGCCTGGCCTACTTTCTCGTGTACTGTAACTCCTGTGTGTGCCACAGCCTGTAGTGGCCACTGTAGATCCACTCATGGATTCTTCCACGTTGAGGAGAGCAACAGGGGGCCTGGTCATCTTCTAATACAGAGACTTGGCATGACTGCACTAAAGGGCCCCTTTTAAAAGTTTTCTAACTCAAATGTTGAAGGCACTACGATGCTTACACGAGCACAGTGAAAAGCATTTTATTGCAGGTTTTGGTGGAATTCACCTTGACCTTTAGATGCGCTGCAGTAACGCTATGCAGACCTGCTGCATAGCGTTACTGCTTCAGTAAGAATCCTGCACCTAAATATAGGATGGATCAATATATTGATGCTTTGAACTCATTTTAGATCGACATAAAATCACATCAGGTTTAATTTTTTTATGTATTTTCTTTAATATGCACGACTATTTACTAAAAAGTGGGAAAGTAGTGTAAAAAGTTTAATAGAAACAGACATGCAGTTAAGAAATATCTGATCACATAATAAACAGTGAGATAAACGTGCTAGAAAATTTCCATTCTTTAAACATGGAAAACACTTTTACAGTGAACCTGTGAATACATTCAACTTAAGAGTGCTACATGCGTTTTTGTAGAGCAAGCCCAGACAGCAGAGTAGGACAACACAATCCCAAACCCTGACAGCTCTCCAGAGAGCTCAGACATACAATATAACTTCCATTATGTAGGCTTTCTCAGTTTTATTGTATTTTTAACAGCCGCTTTAAGCAGCAGAATTCAAAGCGGATTCATTATTATGGCACAAAAATATATTTACAGTGAGTGGTGACTTGGCCCCCATTCATCACTCCAATCTGGATTTCATATTAGCCAGGAGGAAATTGGATGAAATTCACAACATCACAGCAAGCTCATAAATGAAACAAAATCACATAATCTAAAATACCAATTTATCCACTTAACAAATGAAGCACTGTGTCGGTGGCTTATTGCTGTGTTGTACTCATGAATGACTCATTTTCACTGAGTTGCACTAGTAAGAATACGCTGAGCACTCACACACGACCTCAACCACATACTCAAAACTTCAAACTCAGACAGCAGTCTGCACAGGGCTGCCTCACCACACACACACACACACACACACACACACACACACACACACACACACACGAGCATCAAAATGTGCAAAATGAAACAGCAACACAAAAGACAATATTACACGCCATGTATTCTTGCTGATGTGAAACACATATTTTTTTTAATTATGTATGATTCAGAAATGTGAAAATGTCCAAGTGTGTAAAAAGAGATTATTGCAATTTTACACAAAAGAAATTATGTATTTTTACTGCTACTATATAAATGATCATTTGGAGAATACTTCATACAACAATTGCCTTTTTTACACTAGTCGAAAGGTAGAACTAAATGATTATGAACGACTATTATTATTATTAATAATTTAATTCTGAGAATTGTCGCAGTTATAAATACATTTTTATTGTGACACTTGAAAAGTCATGGAATAATAAAAGGGTTTTGTGGTCAAATATGTGTGTGTGTGTGTATTATATATATATATATATATATATATATACACATATGAATGTTTAAGAAACAAAATCATATACATGATGCAGCAACAAGTAGAAACATGCTCAATCATGCCTTGCACCATTATTTTACTGCAAACACACTCACACACACACACACACACACCAAAAAAGGCTGCTGCTGTGACTTAGCTATCCGTAAACTGATCTCTACAGTAATGTAAATACTTTAAAAACAGTGTTTTAGCATACACATTTTTCTTTTACGCTTTCTGCTTAGTTTCCTCTATGAAGACGTGTGCTTACAAAAACTACACGGGACAAACTTTAGATTTGTTTTAAACAATTACACTTGGCAGAAAAAAAATGAGGACGTGCACATGTGCACATATTCGTCCGTTTTTATATTTTCTTCTCTTTTTACTACGCGTTATGACATATTTGAGTTTCACATGGACAAACTCAAATATAAATTAAACTGAAAGTGAGTAATAAATTAAAAATAGCAGGGTTAGCTCAGTATGATACATATAATAAAAACAGTAATAAATTACTTACAGAATTGCTGCGAATATTGTAGAAAAATAACTGAACATGACAAATAATCTTTTGCATAGTGCACCCCCTTCCCCCCTCACACACACACACACACACACTTTTTTTTTTGCTTATCTATTAAAAAATGTCCCACATTTTTTGTTAGATTTTTGTTAGCACCATATGTTTTAACTAACATACTAAGACTAAGAATAATTGTTGAATTCAACAATTCAAGTTCAAGGACAGTCAAGTTCAAGTTTGAGAACTTGGTGTTGTAGCTGTGGCGTGCAGTTTTGGCGTCTGCTTTGCTTCTGCATTATATTAAGTACATATTTCCATTTACATAAAATAAAAAATAAAAATTAAAAGAAGAAGCCATTTGAGCCACTTTGCTGTTGGTAATTACATGAAAAAATGCTTCTAACCAACTATTTGACTAAACCTCACATCATACACCAAGAAAGCATCAGCAAAAAAAAGTACAATTATTATGAACTACTATTAACAACATGAATACATTTACGCGCACGTTTGACGGTAAATTTGTATTAGTGTGTAGTGTGTATGTGTGACTGTGTCTGTGTGTGTCCCATTGCTAGCTCTGCTGTGTAGATGCAATAAACTGTTAGTTTGCTTCAGTGCACCCACTGTGGGTTGTACCAGGCTGTTGTGTTGTTGTAGGTATGCTTTTACACACACAGAGAAAATGCTGAAAACCCTGCCATCTGCCTCGCGACATGCAACCTTCCACTGCACTCCTGCCATTTAGTGCCAAAAAGGCCTTGGGGTGGAGTAGCGAGATACTCCTCCAGCCAAAACCATGTGTCCACAGCTAGTACAGCAAAGCTTACATTCATATGAATGAGCATAATAAGCTACATATGCAACAGTAAGGCTCACTCTTGAAAGCTTTGAGTAATCATTTTGACTTTGTCCTTCAAAAAAAGTCATCCCGACACCCAACATAACACAGCACATCTGAAATCCAAAGCAGAATAGTCGACAAATACGCAAACTTTTGTTGATTAAACTAGAAGATTTCCGCAATTTTCAAAAAACGCAATCAGAAAACAGCTTTCAAGTGACACCTCGAAGAAGATTTTTCTCATTAGACTTGGGAATATACTTTGCTATTTTAATGTCTTAAAAACATTCAAGCAGTACAGATTTCCCATGATCTTGATCATTAAATTCACAATATCCACAGTCAACTTTTATAAATTCTCTTGTTGGTGAAACTGCTGCGTTTGTTGCTCATTCAGGTTTGTTCTTCCATCACATCAAGAGAAATGCGATTGGTATCAACATAATAGCAAAAGCATCTGTAGTTGTATGTGAAGCGCTTGTATCAAAAGCACAAGTCTTGTAAAATCTGTATTCAGACATGTAAGGTATAGATCCAAAAGTGGGGAAAAAATATGAAGGAATCCTCCGATTAACAAAAATTATGTATACAAAAGCAAATGGTGAAGAAATGGTGAGTTATTCTCTATTCCGTTTTCTTGAATAAAATATAAGCTTCCCAAGTACAAACTGTAAAAGCACAAAGTCAAAGAAATTTGCCATTTAAAAATAAATAGTTGTAAAAATTAAGACGTCCTCCAAGCTTCTGAAAACATTAAACTGATCGAAATGATCAGCGCACCACGTGCTTCTCTTCATACAGTGCATTCTAAGCTCGGACAGCATCACTCATATGAAATACCTCCACAACTGTGGCCTTGCACTTACTCACTGATTGCCATAAAGTAGGATTATCCGGTCAATAGAGTGCTTTTTTGCCTTTTTTGTGCGTATTGCTAAACTATGAATGAGTTTGTAGAAATTTTTAGTGGGGAAATGTTCTTGAAATCACGAGAATAGCTGTTAACGCTCTGATATCTGCTGTTCTAAGTGCAGGGCTTTAAATTCAGATGCATAAATGCTCGCTCAGGTGAAAAGAAACTTTGTGCAAAGACCTCAAATGCATCGAGATGTTTATTTGTACAGGATTCCTGCGAAAACTGAACGCCCAAAATGCGAACACATTGATAAAGTACATCAAAAAACCATGCATCCATAGGCATATTTTAAATGAAAATTACTCACCAGTTACCAGAGCAAAGACGCTAAATGTCCGGTGAGGTTCGGAAGCTCTTCCCGCTTCGATCCACATCTCTGTCAAGAAGAGGAGAAAGCCATAAGCTCCAGTTTGGTGCTTCTTGCATAACCCCGTGATTTCCCTCAGACTGTCCCGTTCACAGCCGTGCCTCAGCCTCAGCTCCAGCCTCAGTGCCCACGTCAGTCTCACCTCCAGGCACAAATCCCTCCTTCAACCACAGTCTCAACCCAAAGCTCAGGGCTGCATGGCTTGCCTGCCACCAGCTGGGTCCAGGCCCGGTGAGGCCTGAAACAATAGGAGGCCATGAGGCTGTCTGCGAGGCTCCAGCTAAGCCCGCCTGCTAGTTAACAAGTCTTTGAATGAGGAATGTTAGCAAACAGACAAACAGCATGTCTGATGCATGCAAATAGCACAACCAGTCCAGTCTCAGCCTTGGCTGAGCACATGAATAATTCACAAGTCTATATGCTTCTCTCTCACATTACTCCCTCCCTCTTCTCAAGTGAAATGCCTTCACTGGAATAAGTGAAGCAAAGTATTCAAACCTCTGTTTTACTTTAATACTTGATAATGTAACGCAACAATAATGCAAACCGGTCAAGCGGCGACGTAACGTGCACAGCTACTGGTGACATCTCAACAACTTGCAATTCGACAATTCACTCCCCCCCCCTTTTTTTTTTTCGCTTATTGCCTGTTAATTTCTTTTGTTTGCAATTGGCACCTGTCCCAGTAAGAGCTCCAGCTCAGTGCACCACTCATTTGCCCTCGAGAGCGAGTCGGCGTGAAAGAGAGAGAACAAGAGTGAGAAAGAGACACAAGGAGACAGCGAAGGAGAGAGGACATGGAGAGGAAACAGGAGGAGAAGCAGAGTAAATACAAACAAGGTGCGGTACTTCACGCCAGCCGCTGGCGCGGATTACGAAACATCTTCTTTAAAACGCACACGTATACCCTACTGAGACACTGGTCACTCTGTGACTGCCATCCATGGACATCCCGGCCACGAGCCCACCACCACAAACAGGTTACCCGTCAAAAATGGCGCCCCTGGCATTCCAGGTGGATCAAGGCCCATCAGATGGAGAAACACCACCTTGGAAAATTTTGATCCAAAATGAGAGAAACCAAAAAAACATGTCTAGAAACCAGCAAGGGGAAAAAAAACCTAATAAAACTAAACAAACAAACAAAAAAAGAAGAAGAAAATGAGGTACAGTTTTAGAAAATAGGCAACAGAAAAGCAGAAAAGCGATCAAAAATCCAGAGCGGTGCAAAAATCAATGTGCCAAAAGTAAGAAAAGGGCCCCTAAAAAAAGCCACTTGTTGCCAGGTTTTGCAGAGCTGCTGTGCAGCTAGTTGGAGGCAGAGGGTTAAAATCCAGCTAGTAGTGAGTAAAAAAAAAAAAAAGATCCATCTATGGCAGGGCGGGCTGCGGGGAGGCCCTGACTGTAGAAATAGCAGCAGACTTTTTGTCTTTTTTTTTTCTCCCCTCGCAGAGCTCAAGTCTCCCCCTTGCGTGTGGCTCTAGCAGAAAGAGAGGAGCGACCGATACAGAGAGAGAAGACGAGGAGAGGGGGAGAGAGAGAGAGAGGGAGAGAGAGAGAATCCGAGAGGAGGAGACAGACATGCATACAGTGAAGGGGTAGAAAAGCTCGGCTGATGATGAAATAGGAGGTGTAGCAGAGCGCGCGAACCAGTCACTTTTTCATCACATGTCCAACACGGCAAGGAACTGTATTTGCACTGGGGCCTGGGGGGGGAGGGAGGGAGCATAAGATGGGTGGGAGATGGAGACACAGAAGGGAAGAGAGCGAGGCAGAGTGGGAGGGTGGAAAGCACTAAATGTGGGAGGGGTGGAGGAAGAAGAATGACACAGAAATCCACTCCTCCCAGGCAGCGCGCAGGCTCAGTGCCTGCACTCACACGCCATACTGGGATCCACTATAACGTACGTCAGCAACTATATCAGCAAGTGCAAAGAAAAGCAAGGAAAACGGGAGAATACACAGTCATTCAGCATAAGCTGCCCCCGCTGAAGGATCCTTGAAATATGCAACACTTCTGAGATCTCCTTGAATTATTAACCTCATCTCTTACCGTGGTGGAGCTTTACAGATCTGGAAGTACACACTGAAAGGAACACACGTACACACACACTCAGAGTGCATTAACTCTTTGGCATGCCTGAGCAGCCTGAATGGATAGAATAGACCACGACACACACACACACACACACACACGCACACACACACACACACACACACACAAGGACGCGAGCACACAAAGTGAAAAAGAAAAGCACGGAGAGTGTTAATTTCAGTAACATGTGGCAAAGAACGCATGGCCAGGACGCCTCCTTCTTGCCCCGGCTCTGTCACAAAGCAAAGGCTGTAGCCGAACCTTCGCAGCTATTTTGGCACAAAGTCAAAAAAGGCTGATAAGCATTTTTGGGTGAGACTCTGCTGCTTTTTCCTCGAGGAAAAACAGCTGCTACATGCCCCGGTATTCAATGTTCAACAGTTCGGAGAACATTTTAGCGAAACCCCCCCCCAGAGATGCCGATTTGTCTTGTTTAAAATGGAGAACGAAAAAAAAAAGATAACATAATGGTCCACACGTTTAGTTTGAACCAATTTCTTGCACAGATTTACATGAAGCGTAAGTGAGCCTCAGAGGGAACTAGGAGAGGAGAGGAGAAAGGGGGGGCCCTACTAAACAGCAGGGCTGTTTCCACCATCTTAGATTGCATTGATTATGCTTTGCTTCTCACACGCTAGAGCTCTTTCTCTCCCTGCCTGTCCCTCCCTCCCTCTTTCTGTCTGTTCTGCCACCTTCTCCACTCCGCGATCAGCATTTGGCTTTTTCCATTTGAGGCAGATTACTGTAACTCTATTGTACAACAACTTCCTGCCTCTTTTGGCTCTGGTTCTAAAAAACTGCAAAAGGCAGACCTCGTGGCTTTAACTTTTTTCCCCCCTCGGCCTTGAACCAGGAGCTCTATAAGGGAAGAAAAGGAGGAAGGAGATATGTAAAGTGTATTTATTACTGAGGAGCTATTTTTTTTCTCTCTCTTTTTTTTAAAAAGAATTTCATTTCTGCTTTATAAACTGCTGAGCATTAAAGAGGGGACTTCATGCCTAGCAAGAGACAATGAGAAAGAGAGAAAGAGGGAGACAGAGAGGAAAAACATAAGGTGGGGGTTAAACTTTTTCTTACGTTTTACTCTGTGAAAACTTCCTGTCGGCTTTGGAGAGCACAAATACACAAGCGGGGCTCGAGCTCACGGAGACTTGTTTAACATGGCTGCTACTGCTTCAGGCTGCACAGCTTGTGAGGGCTGCTTTCACTGCACGGCCACCACCCCGTTCCTCGCCGGCTCTCTCTTCCTCACAGCAGCACAGGCTGGATTGCACAAAAAAACCCCTCTTCTCCTCTCTCCGCGCACTCCTCTTTGCTAGACGGGTTTTTTAGTAGAAACACATACGGCCAAAGACAATTAGAGAGAGAGGAGAAAAATGCCAGTATTATTTAAACTAACAAAGTGCAGGAAAAGGCCGCTTTGCACTGCAAGGTATTTGTTCGCTTTCTTTCTTTTTTCTTCCTTTCCCTAAATGAGATACTAGCTCAGTTCAGTCATGCACTTTGGCAGGAGCTACAGAATCCTATTAGAAGGAGTTCAAGTTATACGTCACATCTCGCCATGCGTTTTAACCAATTGAGAAACTCATGACTTCATTATGGCTTCAATGTATAAAGATGTCTTGGGTATATGTTAAGATTTTCGGGGAATAGCTTGTAAAAAAAAAAAAGAAAAAAAAAAAAGCATATGTTAGAACTCCAAGGAGTATTAGTCATTAGTTTTAGGGAAGCATGCTCTGTGAATTTATGCTTAGTGTGCGTACTGTATGCATGGCATAAAGTTCATCTGAGGATACAGTTTTGGCTTTGGGACTGCTGCCAGCTCTTGCCGCTGTGTTGCGTGTCTACATTGCCGCTACATTGTCGTAATTACCTGTCACATCTTAATTGTGGACTTTAGAAGCAAATGCAGACTATTTAAGGCGACTGTATAAAATCGGTTTCCGTTTAAAAAAACACAACAAAACGCACAAAGCAGTTCTTACTACTGCCAACATCTTGCTTCTTTTTTTTTCCAGATTAAATGATCAAAAACGACTAACGTTAGATGAAGCACTAACAATAACACATGATGCAGCCGCACTTTAACTGACATCCGGGAGGGAGAAAAGGCAGGGAAAAGCCACAGCTTTCCTTCTGGAGTACTAGGCTGCTGCAGCTGTGTGATACAAAGTCAGTCGATCAGGCCAATTGATATTGCAATGAGAAACAAAATGGCAGACGGCGCCATGTTATAGCCTCTGCCTGACAATTATTTTACTCCTAATAATTTTATGATTATGCTTCTCTGTTTCATCAAGGTTTGATGTAATGAATCGAGTTGGGAACACTATTTTACGACAGAGAAAAAAACAGTTTTGAAGCGGTTAAAATATATAAATAGCATTGCAATAGAAATGCAGCGCATACGTCTAACGCCTTTATAAATAAGACACATTTTTTGTGGTTTAAACAAACTGCGCTGATTGCATTCAGAAGAAGGCACGTTAAAGTGTTTTAAAAGACATCTGCAGGCATTTGTTAGGGTAAACATTGCATTATAGAATTTAAATGGTGGACTGGATGAGCGTTCGTCCTAGTGCTACATGAAACAATAAAACAATGAGCACAGCAAGAGCGATATGGAATTTCACTGGGCAGGGAATCCACAAAGACAAACAATATTTGCACTTAGAAACATAGAGGAGGCATTAGCAGGTGGGAGTAGGGGTTTGTGTGTGTGTGTGTTGGGGGGTGGGGGTAAGGGATGGCTGTGTGCTTGGTCAGCAACCACTACAACGTCGACACTTAGATATGATATGCGGCACATAAAAACAAGGTTATTCTAATGGACTTATTGAAGGGGATAAAAGCTAACCACAAAGTATCCCTTCTGTATGAGGGGAGAGTATACTCTCCAGGAGAAGAGTCCATGAGGTGGTCGAGCTTAAACCCTGCACGTGTCTAAACAACTTCTCTATTACACCCAGGACCTTTGAGGGCACTCCCCATCGAGGAGGGAACAAAGGCCATGACCCCTGGGTCAAAAGCGTTACATGGGAGGCCAAGCGAGCTCATTGAATGTTCCACTGTTGTTTGCTTTAAGAAGGTAAAGATTACTAACACATTAACTAATGCTGATTAGGGGGTTATCCCTCATGGGACCGAGGTCCCGGGGCAGCACATCACGTCGTATTAACACAGCCTGACCTTTGACCCCCACCAGTCACCTTAGGCAGCCGACTGTGACCGCCACTTTCTCCGCCTGTTTGACATTTATATGCATGCATGCACAGACAGGGAATGCAGGCTAACCTTGCAAGGTGCAGCACAGCTCAAACAAAATTCTTTCTATGTGGAAAAATCTGAAGAAACGACTGAATGCTCACTGCACGGGATTCGCAATGTTAACACACTCCGGTCAAAAGAGTTTTTAACTTTACTTTAGCAGGCTGCGCTTCATCCGTGTACCCGTATTTCCAATAAGTACTCCTTCCTAAGTAAACATTGTCAATTCAAGTATGTTTTCAAGGCCTCTGACCTAAAAGACTGTTTTATGTTGAAGCTCATAAAATGGTTGCATGTGCAATGAAATGGTGGACAGAAGACATGCGCAGTAATGATGTTTCTAATACAAGAAAAAAAAATCGTAATATTGGCGATTGCAACCGATAAGAAAAAAGCAGCTTGTTCAGGATCTGTTTCTGTGACTCCCTTCAACGTATACTTTGATATTAGTACAGAGGTGAAAGCATGCTGCACAGCTGAGCTTACCTAACCCTGCATTTCCTGCAAAAGCGAGCCAATAATAAGTTATTATGATACATAATTCAGCTATATCATTTTGGAAATGTCTGCTAACAATCAGATCCTTTGGAGAATTTTATGGGATAAAACACCTTGGGAATATCATTTTATCAGGATTAGGGATATTTTTCCAGCAATGAGTTCCCAAAAATATCAAGTTCAAGTTTTTCCACAAGTTATCTTCACATGCAAAACTCTTGACTGAGCACTTATTTGATAACACATTATCCATCAATATTTGAAATGCACTGTGGCATGTGTAAGAAAGCATATAAAAGCATGTGTGCAAAATATTATAGAATATAAACAGAATGGACTTTTGCTTGTTTCCTTAAAATGCCGTCCGCTTATTACAGAAACCCAAAAAGACATAAATAAATAAATGATTAATTAATAGTTAAACTTAATAATTTTATCATAAATGTTGACTATTTTATATATTAGCTTCGTTAAAGGAACACCCTGCCTAAAAACCAAAAAATGCCAGGGATACTCATTTAATTTTAGGAAATGTTTAATAATGCCTGAACTTTATGGATTCGGTGTAAATTATTGTCACGATTTATTCAGGGGAAAAAAAAAAACTTTTCCAGAAATGCATTTTTTGTTCATTGAGTAAAAATCCACATTAAAATGTTAATATGAACTGTGGAAAAATATGCTTTACAAAAGGCAGCTCATCCAGCCTTTTGTTATACAAATAATAAAAGAACTGATATTTAGTCACGGCGCACACAAGTTGATTTATTTAACATGAACCCGTCACTAAATTAAAAAGTAAGAAAAAAACTGTTAGAAATCTGTTTTGGGTTTAAATAATACACTTCATTGTGTGTGTATAAATAATTTTTTTACACTAGTATTAGATTGTTAAACACGGTGTATTTAAACACTTCATTCCTAATAAATAGTTTTATATAAATAAAAATATTAATTTAATTTTAATGTATTTGATTTCTGTTTAATCAGCTTTACCTGATATGTTGTGCTGATATGAAAGCACAAAAACAGAGCACTGATTCCCCCCCCCTTCATCTGCCACATAGCTCAGCAGGCATTTGATCCGGTGCTTTCATGAGAACAATTCAAAAGCACCGCAATAAATCTTGAATTTCAAAATATTTCTGAGACATATTGCGAAGAAACAGAATTTGTAGATATGCCACATGCACAAAGAAACGATTCGTCTTAGCAAAAAAAAAAAAACAAAAACAAAGAAAGAGGAAGAAAAAACAGGAATAAAGACTTTTTCAAAAGCAGGAATGAACTCACCTTGCTGTTTCTCACAGGATTCTGAAAGGAGAGGAGGAAGAGAGACACAGAGAGAAAAGAGCAAAGGAGAGCTTCTCCTGGGAACAAGCTGGAAATTATGGACCATTCGATATCAGACCTCAGAGTGGACAACCTATCCTAAGAGGGACGCGCCCTAACTGTAACTAACAACTACTTCTGGCAGCCCTTCAACAACCAGACATATTGTCCTGGATCAGGGCCGTTTTCAAAAAGGCAGCAATGAGCAAGGGCAGCCTAGGCAAGAAATCAACATCGACCTTCAGCCTCATTAATGTCAATTAATACTTTTTTCCTCTAATAAAAATACAGAATTTTAAACTATGATCCCAATGAGACGTTAATTATCAAAGGTAGCATGTTAAGGTGATACATGCTATAAAAAAGAAGGATTTCCGCACTAAAGTGGGGCAGCATTAAGGGGTCAGCACAGCACTTTAAAAAAATAAATAAATCAAATGTATAATGCGTGAGTTAATTATTTCACCTACTGTTTTAGTACTGATATATTAAAAGCTCAAAATCCAACACGAATGCAATGTTGCATTACTTCGTACTGTGTAAGTCTGAAGATCTGCATTTAAAGTGTGAATGCAACAAAACTGCCTCATGGTGGAAACGAGCACAAGCAGGGTTTGAATGAGTGTAACAACGTAAAAATATTCCATTAAAAAATTTTTTTGACTGAGTATAATACCTGTGTCATTTTTGTCATTATAGCAGAGATCACAATGTAGTAACCAATCATTTTTAGACATGCACCAAATGTTTATTATCTAGTTAAACAGCAATGTAAAAATACTGATCTGTAGCACTAAATAATGTACTGAGACAAATTTCAATAATCAGTGACATATAAAGTAAATTTTCTGTCCACTTAACTATCAGGTCTCTGCATACTTCTACTCTTCCTTCCAGTTTTCTCATGCAGGTTATTAATTCCTATTTAAAAAAAACAACAACAAAAAAACCTTGGCCATTTTGTTTTGTTCTCCCTAATCACTACGCCAAGAGTGCACAGCCCTGGCATTTCAGGGGCCACGTCACAATGGCTGTTTCTGTGCCGCAGGGCTGCAAGGAGTCCAACACAGCAGAGCCATACGCACTCAGCGGTTCGCTGCCTCAACAAACACTTTGTGCGCACTGTTTTGTTGTCTTACACAGTCTATCTAGCATCCTTGCTCCACTGAGCACAGCAAAACATGTAACTAATAACATTTAACAATACGTGTGCTTTTCTTTTTCCTGGTGCCTTTTCCAACACGACATCACACACGTTTCAGCTTCCGAATCACTTTGCAGCACTTTCCTTCTTATGCTTACTACAGTAAAGTAAGCTTAGTGACAAAACAGAGTTACTCGAGCACAAAAAGTAAATATTTGAAATATTCTAGATATTTACCACTTTGATATCTGTTGTTTGGCAACCTTGAAAAAGGGGAAACAGCGCTGATATTGATGTCATGGATTAAAAAAAGAAGGACAAAAAAAAAAATCACTGATTAGGGAAATCACACTTGGGTTACTGATGAGTAAAAGTGCATTGAATGGCGTTTATCTATGTGGGAGAAAAGCAGTGATTTATAGGACAGTTGCATAAACAGATGTTATACTCTGTGGGCTATTTATGCAAATTCAGTGGCTCTTCTTCATGCAAAATATTATTAATATTTATTTTTTACATAGAGCAAAGTAATATGTGTTTGAGACATAAATCACTGTTCAGGCAAACCAGACCACATGCCAGCAATAAAAGTAAATGTCCACTTACTACTGTGAAAAGTCTGCTCATTTGATTGCATGTACACATGTGTAAAACATTTGTCTTCATAACCTTCCCTTAAATTGATTTTTTTTGTAATCCTGTGTGTTGACAACTAGTTGGTTTATTAGTTTCATGCAGAGGCTTATATCAAAAGCACAGAGAGCATTTAAAGTATACACTACATTTATTTTGTCTATTTTGACTACAAGTGTCACGCATTGTGTGTTTTTTCAATTTCGTGTCAAGCGTGTGATAAAAACAATGTTTATTTTTATTACTCTCGTTATCATCATTATAATCATTATGCCTCATTATATAATACTTTTGTGGGAACAAGCAACTCTGTTCCTCGTGATTATGACTGCAGACACTTACAAGGGTAAACACTTGCGCAAAATTATTTCAATGCTAGTCTGTGATTCAGGGACCCTCTGTGTAAACTCTGTGCTCTCTTTATGGTAAACTGTGCTGACACTGATGGGGTGTAAAATGTTCTGGTCCACCCATCAGCATAATCATCATCAAGCTAAAGGTGTTGACAGCACGTATTCGATGGTGTGACAGCCTCTGACCTCTCACACCAACTTAGTAAGGCAGAGGGTCATGTGGAGGACATGGCTATGGAGGGAGAAGTCAATCTTATCCTTCCGTTCCGCCACAGGCCTGTGTGCAGCGACAGCAAGATGAGCTCGAGGGCTTTCCAAAATCCACACACGTTTGGCCGGGAGTAAGGCATCGGTGCCGTGTGTGTTTCAAAGGAAACGCTGAGGAAAGCGCTTTTTTGTGGCAGCACTCGTGCACTTGACAGTGTGTATTTGCCTGCCTCTATGTCTTTGCTCCGTCCCCACCCTGACTCGATATCCCTCAGCACCAATATGTGTCATCTTTAGTAGCCAAAATGGCGTACAGCCCACTTGTCTCCCAAAGGTAGAGAACACTACCTTGTATCTCTTGATTTGGATCTCACGTGTGCAGACAATTTTTTGCCATTATCTCTACACATTACAAATACCTCGGGCTCTCCAGAGCAGCGTGGGACTGAGAGGTTAAAAGGCAGGAGGCACGGAGATGAGAGGCACTGAAAAGCCTCAGCTCTCGGACTGCTTCTCTAATGGGGGGGGGGTTGATAACCTGGCACACAACCAACCACTAATGCCACTTAAATGTCAGAGACTGCAGAAAGAAAGGGAGACAGCAAAACTGGGAGCACATTCATATTTCAGCATGGCAGATGCTATAATATGTTCATGCCTCACAATGAGGACAAACAAAGACCCCAGAAGTTTGAAAAAAAAAAAAAACAAGACAGAGAAAGCAGGCACGATAAAAGGGAAATGAAAAAGAGGAAAAGGGATTTTGTAGAAGTGATGGAGGCAGCTCCATCTAATGGTTGTCTCTATTCGACAAAGTTTGGAGTAGATCTGTCTCACTCTTTCTGTCTCTCTCTCCTGTCTCTTTCTCACTCTCTCTCCGCAGATGAAAACCTGACTGGGTGGGGGTCGGGGACAGGGTTGAGTCTGGTGTTGGGGGTGGGGTTGGATTGCTGGAGAGAGTGATCTTTTTTTCCAGCGGGGTGAAAGGCGGACGGTCATGTGTGCAGAGCTCATGACAAAAGGCCCTTTTATGTGCAGCGTATGCAGATAGAGGAGGCTCCTTTGTGCACAGATGGAGATCCCATGCCTGGGTCTGCCTGCGGCAGAGAGGGAAGGGAGGGCGGAGAGGAGAGAGGAGTGGTGGTGAAGGGAAGAGAGGGGAGGGAGGGGTGTCTCTGGCACTGAGTGCCATCACTATGTCTGGTGGGGGATGGGGCACAGAAAAGAAGGACCGAGCGGTCCCGATCCTGCCAGGTTCATACACAGCGAGGAGGGGCCACGAGCCTCGCTAAGAGGATACAGAGACTTGTAACTCAATAGTGGAATCGAAGAGAGTCCATCAAGTGAGTAGCAAGTGGCCCAGGGTCAAGTATTACATACAAATAATCTCTGATTTTTGCTTCTTTCTGCTGGCTATGGAAAACAGGGTTTGTCACATATAGTGCCAGAGAGCTAATACAAGTACAGTACAGCATGCAAAACTTATCTGATACCAACTATGGATTACAGGCTTAGAAAAGCTTAACCTAGTTTTTTTTTTTAATGCCAACTATCACATGTTCCTAACAGGTAAAATGTTCAAACATATCTACAGTTGCACTTTTGACCCAATAACGAGGGGTCAATCATTCACGTGAACCATCGAGCCCCAAATGAAACTGACTGCCAAGTTCAAGTCCTAGTTCTATGTCAAATAAATGCCTCTTCATCTGTCTCAATCTCTATTATCTCAATGTTGCTGCTTTGAATCCATCCCGACTGTTATCTATCAGTGTCTGGATAAGAACATTAAATGTGTATTCTGGTGGCAGCTCTCCCCTGGGAGTCGAGGTGACTCCTACTGACATCTGGTCTGCTGAGAAGACATCATATCCTTTAAGTAACCTCCTTCCCTTGACCAGCACATCACAACACTCAAGTCAGACAGCTTCCTATCCTCCTGGAGGCCCACGGCTCTTTTCTACAGTGGACAGATAGATACCACACAACGACAGACCCTTTAAACTCTTCACATTGGGCTGAAGCTGCTGATGGACGTGCTGAGAGCTGCTACTGTTTGAATATAAAACAAGAGCAAGATGGAAACGCACAATTTCCTAAAGAAAGATTTCTGTCAAGGGATTTATTAACTAACATGCTTGATAGCTAATGAGTTAATGTTAGCTACCTATTGGGTTCATTATCTCATGATAGTATGCTTGTTAAGTTTCCCAAACACTGAAATTCTTGCTGAGTAAAAATGAGTATAAGATACAAACGAGTATTATTCTGTATTTCATATTTAAAGCAATTTTTACATTTTATTCCTAAACAGCGCTGTATAAATAAACCTTATTTTCTTACTAAAACAGTTTTGTAAATGGGGTCCAAATTAGAGCCAAACTGACCCAGAAGAACAAGGTATGCTTTCAGGTAGGCCTTCCTTGTGATTTACACGTCATTCTTAGTCAAAGTTCTCTTACTTCTCATGTCTGGTTTCAAAATACTAACACAGCAACAGGCAAAATGCTGTTCACTGAACCAATGGGTGGCATCACAGTCCATTTTTGTATACAGTCTATGCTTCTCCCCAGGAAAGACTTTGCCAACCTGCCATACTGAAATCAGTGGACCAGGGAAAAAATCTGGAGTGAAAAGAAGCTGAATTAATATGATTAATGGGGAAACAAAACAAACAAGACGTTGCTGATGCTGTTGCGCTGATCATTATGCCATTAAATTACAAACTGTACCCTTTTTACGGGTAATGATTGACAAAAACTGGATGTGCAGTGTACACTTTTCTGGTTTATAAGAGGAGCATGCCAGAAAAAGTGTGAGAACCACTGGCTCAGGCTAATTAAAGTGATCAGGTGTTTTTGTCTGAGTCCTGTCTTAACTTTGGCCTAACTGCCCAGCCTGTCTGCCTGCACTCTGGCTGCCAGGAGGCCAGGAATGAAAGCCTGGCACTTACCCCCCCTCTCCTCTATCCCCTGTTGCTACCCTAGATGCCAACAAAGGTATTTCTGGCCCTAATCAACATGGAGTGGTAGAGAGATATGAATGCATGCCTGTTTTTTTTTTTTTTTTTTTTACACAAAAGCAGAAAGGACTTAGGTAAACACTAGGAAACATTTTCTCAAGATTAAACTGCATTCCCAAGAGCTACTACAATACATTACATTGGTTTATCAAGCTTTCTTCTCTATTCAAACTTAAATTCATGAGTTGACGTTATGTCACTTATGTTTTTAAAATACGAGGAAAGTCATCCCTTTATTTCTGTCCTTTCTCCAACAATTTTATACTGTAGCACATTCATGGTATATTGTGGGGGAAAAAGATAATTTGGGATATGTTAACATCATCATGTGAAAGCATTGTACCTTGTGTTAACATAAAAGTTGCTAACTTAT